GAAACATATTCCCATTGATTGCTGAACATGAAATTTCAATGTGAATTGATTTCCCTTAAAATAGAGAATAATATTGATATTAGGAGAAAACAAGGCGGGAATAATCAATGGATTCTCCATTTAAGTTGTTGTTTTTCGAACGATTTGTCATAAACATTTTATTCTATACTGATCGTATGATGGAAGTCATTTCGTGACGAGTGCACTTTACTGGGTGGGGGGACAACAACTATTTTACATGGAAGTAGTTGGGGATTATAGTTGATCACATGATGAAGTTTGACATAAATTGTTAATAAGTTGTGAACTAAAAAGCTAAAAAGCCCCGGGACAGCTGTTTCCGCTTGATTGGATTCGATCAGCAGTGCGAATTGTTCGTTCCAAAACAGTGAGGATCGAACCCGGGACCTCACAGGNAAATCTTACAATGATGAACGGTGCTGTATTATGTACTAGTAAAATAAAAACAACGTTCTGACCAGCAATCGTTAGTCAAGTGTACACCTGTGCGTTCTGGGTTTCGGACTTAGCTGCGGCGATGGATTCATTATCTAGTGATGAGAACCAATCAGGTCTTGATGACCGACCACTTACAGGTGTTGACCAAACTCATGCAACATCATCCTCATTTTGAAAATCCATCTCAGCTTGCAATATCATAGTTATATATAGATGGCTACAAGTAAAGTTTATTTATTCCTGACTTTATCTCCAACATATATGTTCTTTGTTCATTTCTGTCACCATTTAACTGTGCTCGACCTTGAGTGTCGCAGTAGTTCGAAAGTTGCAGCTGTGATTTAGAAAATATGTTGGGTAAAGCAGCATGGAAACGCATTCTTTTTAATAGATGATTCCTGTCTCATAAGAATTTCTATTAGGTTGAGCACACGTATTCTAAATTTCTGTTCAGTTTATGGTTAATGCTGATCTACCGAGCCAGTTTTCTAAAAAATTTCTTTTTACCTGTCAAAAGAAGTAAATATCTACACCGCCTAACCAGTTGAAACGGATATGATTATTGAGCGCATTGTTGTTGGTCTCCTGCATATACCAGTATGGACATCGCAAAATTTCCTGCACTGGTCAGGGAGGTTTTTGATAACTGTCACTTCGCAAATGCATTTGCCGAAGTCATATTTTTTCATATATGAAGGTTGGCATATAAGCTCGCTTGCGTTTGGTGGTAGGAAATGGTTAGATCTAAAAAAATATTAGTTTTTCACATTTATGCAGTTTCTAGAGGGGTCGATTTCAATGTCAAATTCATTCTAATAACGCACAGCAGCAGGAATTTTAATTTAATCGGAAACTTTTCTCTCTATCAGAAACAGGGATAAGTCAGCTACCTTGCCATAGGTCACCGGTGTTAAGGGTGTGCGGTGTGTTAGAGGAAACTTGCAAATTCTGTTTGTCAGTCTAGTTGATGGATTCCATGCTAAAGCGACTGTCTCCAGTGCTCAAAAATGAAGAAGAGTAAATAGAACATGTATAAAGTCTATGAATCATTTTATTAAATAAATTACAAATACGTTTTCTACTGTGACTTTGTTATCTTACAACTGATGCACTAGCAGAAATCGTTGACATCGCGAAATTGTAGATTTTATTTTACAAAGAACGGTCGCGGCCTCGGCGGCCTATCAGTGAGGTGCAAAAATCCACCAATAGTGATTTAATTTCTATCCAAAAGAGTTTTCATTGAAAGTTGACCTTTTATTTTTGTTCATATTGTCCATCAATTGCTCGCGTGTACTCATTCAGCTGTAATTGCATATTTATATGCTCATGCCAAATGAAGAAACATGGTGAGAGGGCGGGCGGGGGGGGGGGTAGAGAGAGACATTGGGTAAAATGAAACCTTTGAACACGGTGGTGGTAGTGGGCAAGTGAGTTACGTGATTTGGGTTTGGTTGTGCGATCCAGGTTTTTATTGTGATGATATAAATTTGGTATGAAAGTGAACTAGTTCAAACAATGCGGTGAATGCGGTGGAGGGAAGGGAATGGAAACCATATCACACACACACACACACACTAATTACGTTCCAATTCTATGCTGAACCAAAATTCAACCAAGAATCCAACTTGATAACCGTGTGAACATTCCAAATAAATAATTTTGATTGAAGGCTATCGTCCGTTTTGAAGACAATATGTTTCTTCCTACTGAGCCCAGTCGACCATCGTTATTCCGACAAACTACCAGTTGAACTGTTTTCTCCACGGATCCCATATTTTCTGTTGGAAAATTTAACTGTTCGTCTTTTTGAAGTAACCTATGAAGGCTGCTAATGTGCGGTGAACTAAGGGTTATTCTGTCGTTTAATTGACTACGTTGACCTCGATAGATAAGATACCGAGTCCCACATTTCTGCGGAGTGCTCTACGGTACCAACCCGTCTCCCACTATCTCACCGTATCAGTAACAGAGAACAGTTCGACGATTAGGTCTGCGTATGATTTGATCAGAGAATCAAATTGTAACGGTATGTTTCCAACTTCCGAAAAGCCAATCACCTTCCTGTTCGGTGGTTTGTTGTCTCATGTGTTCCCACTTATCAATCAGTTCACATGAATGCTATGAAATTGTTTGTTTCCCCCTCTCTTTCCAAAAGATACACTCCATACCTGGCGGAGCACAATTTACACAGATTCAAACTGATGATCAGGCTAAACGAATAATCGATTCATTCAAAAAACCGTACACACCGTTGTATAAAACGTCATCTAAAGCTCACACAAACGTTCCAGAAGTTCGGAATCGTTTATGAAATTTGCTTATTGCGGAGTTACACCAAATGTGTTATGTCTATCCAAAGCCTTATTCCCAAACCACTGGTGGAGCTATGACCCAATCGATTTATTTAGCTTCCTTTGCTTTGAGCACAGATCAGAATCCACGGTTCTATTCGATCACGTGTTGTATGCTTGTCAAATACTTTGACCTGTGCATGTGTTTCTTCTTGCACCGAAATTCTGATTATTACAAGTGTTCCGAATTACATGAAAACCGCAACAGATTTGACAATACCAGGAATGACTACAAGCTTATGTGATCTGGAACAACTAGATTTCGGCCCTTTAAAGATCCCAAATCGGACCAGATCTCTTACGTGATGCTTTTCTGTAATGCGGAAATTCAGACCCATCTTCATCGGGATCGATATTTCAGCGTCAAGATGCACGGTATATTCTCCGTTCGTCTCTCTTTCTCTTGCTCGCTCAAAATCTCTATTTTTTTAAAATAAATTTTAACATGTAAATATTAGCCATTTGATTGATAATAATCAATTTGAATACGATCAAAACTGAGTGCACTCCGAACTTGATCTCCGATGTCATTCAACATGACTGTGTTGACTGATAATTCATACAGTTTTCAGTGATTTTAGCTAGAGGTTGAGGAGGACAATCAAAGTTTTACAATTGTATTTTTGCTAATTCGATTATAGTTTTAAGAAAACAAAAATAACAATTAGACAAGGAGGTCTTAATTACTTTTATTTGTCTGTCTGTCTCTCGCTCTCTCTCTCTCTGACGGTATAATCTTGACGGCATTTTGACCTTATTCGTAGTCATTCCAAATATACCAACCTTCTAGATTAGCCTGAAACTATTGGTTGGAAAACTGAAGTGACCGTAACAATCATAATGAGCTGAGTATACAATGATTGTGAAAGGTTAAAGATAGGAATATGAATGAAGTTCACCTAATAACCTGCCACAGAGTAAGTGACTCATGATGATTCAGGCCAGTCTTATTTGATTGTCCGCGTTCATCCGGTATTGCTAATGTGCACCAATATGCACATGGTCCTCTGTCTGTGTCTAAAGAAGAACTCCGTCCATTCTCTCTTGTATCACCAAACTCACCTGGGATTAGATAGACATGGTAATCCCCTAAAGGACAGGCACAGAGGATTGAGGTTTCTATATAGGTGACAGACAGGGCCTTGTGTGTGTGTGTCTCTCTCTCTCTGTAAACAAACTAAGACTAGGCAACTTCGGCAGTGTTCACATTCCATTGACGGTTGCTGTTGAATTAGCCGTCTTCTTTTGTTTCCTGTCCACTGCAGAATATTCTGCGAATACGGATTCCAATGTGATATTCACTCAATCCACCAGTCAGTAGACCACTGCCATTACGGACCCGATGAAACAGACGTTAAACAACCCAACCGCCATCTAAGTCAAATTAAGACCGCACTGAGCGCATCCAATCTGAAAAGTATGTTTGGTAAAATACGTTACTACTACTTTGGTTTATACGCAAACTCAAGGAGCTTGGGGATTGAACGCTCCGCGGAAAGACACTGACGATTAAGATGAAGCTCTCTAGGGGAAATTAGAGCTACAGCACGTGCTAAATGAGATGGCCTCTCAGTTCAGTTGATAGTTGTTCCCTGGAGACCAATACGCATGAAGGATAAAGTACAATAGAATTGTAAACGGCTACGGTGTGAGTGTATAGGCGTTTATACCTGATCTGGTGACATCCATGAAAAGATGAGCGAGAGAGACCTAGGGGGGGGGGGGNATTGATTTACACGAAGGATCACATGATCTGGGATGTTGATTGACAATGGGAGCTGGGACGCAGATTATGAGGGCTACAACCATCTCGTGCTCAACCAGCTCCCTCCCGTTTCTGTGATGATCACAAATCTGTAACTTGCGTGTGAAAACAATTCGTTTAATGAGTAAAAACGTTTATTAAACGCATTGCTGACCACATATTTATGATTCATCATCATTAGACGAGAAATAAACCTGGCACAGATAAACACACACACATGTAATCTTTGGATGGAACAAGCAACAGCAAGCTGTCAACTTCACGTCAGAGGGAATAATGAAGGATTGTATATCATTCGATTACTGTCTGTCTGTCTGTCTATCTGTCTGTCTGTCTGTCTGTCTGTCTGTCTGTCTGTGTATTTGTTTCATTTGTCAGTGGTCTCTGTTTGCCGGAATAAAAAACAAAATCAAACGATAATCTTAGAAAGAATAACTAGCTCTCTTGTCATATTCACCAGATTCGTCCAACGATTCGGGGATAAACCGATAACCGGACGGGATAGCAGGAACTTCATGCTCATATGGTTCGATGTAGCGTTTGAAAAATGACAACGAAGCTCGTTTATCAGCCCACTGCGGTTGGTGACGTTTGCGAAACAAAAAGCTGGCCCGTTTAACTCCGGCCGTATCGGTTCCAGTGATCCATTCTGCGGGTGCTGGCGAATCAGGAGATCGTTTGAAGTATGAGAAACTGGCACGTTTATCGGTTTCACCCTTTTGTTGTTTCATTTTCGGGAGTGTTGATGGAGGATTGTCAGCGATTCGGGTGGGAGCGTGTGTGTGTGTAGAGGGGGGAGATAATGAGAAGACATATTTGAACTAATAAATTTCTCCAAAAGCGGCTCAATACGCTGATGAAAATAAGGCTAGGCAAACAAAGTTTAAGAAATATGGCAAAGTAAAGCATTTATCTGACCAATGTTCAAAACGGAATTGCAAAGTATAAAAACGTATCCCATGAATTTTTTTGATTTCAGGCATGCCTCGTTTCGTTCAGTCGGTGATGGTAGTGGTGGTGATGGGATTCGATCACACATCCTGGGGTTGACTTTACCACCGGGCCCCACCGCTCGTTTAGAGGTTCTACCCATGACTTTCACCATACATCTTCTCATCGATCGTGTTGTCCGCGGATAATAACCATTCGAGCTAAATGACAATAGTCAAATAGAATAGTGATGCCACCTCCGACGCACTCTCCTCCTCCTCACACACACACACACACACACACATAAACTCATTGCGTCAGACCTTGTGCTCATTATTCCATGCGATCAGTCCAAATTGCCTTTGGGGTTTTATGATTGCAAATTTATTACTTTGAGAGCGGAACTGGTTTCAAAATACATTAAACCAGTAATTGTTTTCCGACCTACTGTTTATCGGGGAAAATTGAGTGATTTATTTCTCCATGTTTCGATTTGCAAGGAATTTTAAGAATCTGAGGGATTCGTGGGTTAGTTACTTGGTAGTTAATACTTCAGTAGACATACCATCACATAATGCAAGAGGTTATCAAAAAGTAACTCGCTGCCACTATCCCTCGTCTCGGTTCTGATTTATTCTGGAGAGCCTTAGAGTAGTTCAACAATTCTTCAACACACATGAATACCGCAGTACTCAAACAAAATTCTTCGACTATCTATAGTTGAAAATGATTGCCCCAAAGCAACCGCCTCCAGTGGATATGCAAGCTTTTCCTCCGTAGATGAGTTTAGAAGATAAGTAGAATTGCTCCTCCAGATTCACGAGGGTAGCTCTTGCGGTAACTTTTGTGTGTCCTATTCATCTCCCGCTTGTCGCGGAACATCACCAAACGTGGCTGAACAAGGTCATTTGCTGTGTCGTGCTAATAAAGAACTACCTATCGGATCAGTTACAAGCTGTATCACCCCACACGTATGTATGTGAGAAAGACCCAAACATAATTTGTTCACTTTGGATTCCGGTTGGCGTACTTTGTCCGAACCAAATGATCCACCGCGCAGTTTGCTCCATCTCGAACACACACACACTCCTATCCTGCCTGACAGGTTTTAAGTGACACTGTTNTTTCTTGATTGGATCAACCAACCACACTAAACTCCCTGCTGTTGCCCAATCTCTCTCTGTATCTTTCGACCACTCCCACCCCTGATCGCACATCTATCATACAACAACAACAACTACTACAAATATTGTTTTTGTAATTTCGTGATAGTTTGTGATACACTACCTGGTTCAGTCAACCCTAGCTTATTTACGACCAATCAACTAAGTACAGTTTTACGTGAATTGATGAGTAAACCGTCGAAGATTAAGGTTAGGGTAGGTCACTTTTCTTTTCGGTTGTCATTACTGTTTGGCTTTTTTGTCCGTCCAAGTTTCCGGTCATTTGTAGTCCTCCTTTTTTTACTCAACTTATTCCCCAAATTCTTTTCATTTTTGATCGCAAGTAAATGAAGAAACTGTTCAAGTGCAG